GGTGATTCAAGGCGGTGTTTACGTTTAGCTTTGCGCGCAATTTCCCAATCTCTTGCATTGCTCTTTTGATAGCAGCAGCGCGTTGAACAACAGATAGAATTGGAGGATCTGAATTAGTCATCCTTGGATAAGGTCCGAATACCAAAAGCGTTGGTACTAGTCCATTAGGCCCGGCAGTGTCATTTATAGCTTTCACTGCTATTTGAAGCATGCAGTCTCTACCAACTCCGGTTCCTTTTAACTCTTCTGTTATTATTTTGTATGCTCGTCGGATACAAGAATGATACTGCTCTACCTCTTCTATGGACCAATGCGCTTCAACAGGGACATTTTTCACCAAAATTGCCATTGAAGATGCATTTTGGTTAAATTCTTTGCTGAAAAAGTTCTTACCAGTATCTGTTACTATGCAATCTGGGGGTCCAACATGAGTATCTATCCAACAGGCACGTATGGCATCCCATGTGTGTTTGGCAGAGATATTATTGAGTCATCTAGCTGCCTGGAAATTAGTTACATTGTCAACAATGTGCAGCACTGGGTTATTATCAATATAAATTACGTCAACAAGAATGGAATGATTGAATTGGAGGTCGGTATCTTTAAGGGTGAATTTGAAACGGTTAGGTGCCCCTTGGTGTTTTTGGCAATGTTTGCAGAATTTAGTCAAGTGTATAAATATTTTCTTGGTACATAATTATGTCCGGCTTGCTTAAGTATAGAATAGAGGTGATGAGCAGACAAATGACTGAATTGGCGATGAAGTTGTTTTAACTCAAATTCATTAAGAAAACAAGGATGAATATGGAATAAATGAGAATTTTAATATTTTAAAACTCCCCCCAAAGCAAAAACACATGTCTAAAATACTGAATGACTGGAATTTTTGTGTTTGGGCTTATTAACAAGTTCTGTAGATTACCATAGTAAAGTCCAAGTCTATCCATATCAAGGAGTGAGAGAAGGAAAGGGGTATCTGCTTGAACTATATGAAATTCGAGCTTTCCTAAAGGAGTACTTAGTTCAGTAGTCCCTATTGATGTGCTGGATCTCATGCCAAATTGTACTTTTACTTACCCAGCTTTTGTTCTGTCTAGGTAGGCGTCTGAAATTTTCTTTAGTGCCAAGAATTGTTTGTGGCCTGCTATGTAATATCTCGATGCACCAGTATCAATGATAATTCCATAAAAATGGGCTTCATTGTACCTTCCAGAAGTAATAAATGAGGCTGGATCATCATCTTGTTCATAGAAATTCGACGCTGGGTCTTCACCAGTTATTGAATGCACAAAAGAATTATCTGCAAGGATTGAAAGAATGTCTTGGGGGTTTTCAAGGAATCCTACGGAAGTGACAAATGATTCATCTAGATTTGAATGTATTTCTGTATCTTCAGAAGATGGATTTGTATCTAAAATTAAGGTATCCATTTTTAACTCCAGGTCAGATTCTTCAGGTTCAAATTCATCTTGATAGCCTTGCAGTTCTGCTAGATAATGATCGGCTTTTTTTCAAATTTCTGGAGTAATTTTTTCTTAAAGTTCTTTTTCGCTTCTTCTTGCTCTATGGCTGAGTGGTTATGCAACCAACACCCCTGGCAATTACAAACGTAACGTTTCTTAGCGCTAGACCGAGCAAGGCTAGTTTGTTAGCGGCTTAAAGGTAGCTTTAGAGACTGTGTTTTTGGTTGAAAATTACTAGATTTACGGAAGCGGCGATCGGTGAAAAGCTGTGTCATAGAAGCCTCATTATTTGCTTCAGCTGTTGATATTGATGCCTTGAGGTCATTTATTAGACCACTAAGTGTTTCACTTGGCTTAGAATATGCGAGCAGCTAAGCTTGGACACTTCTGCAAGCCTTTATAAGTTTGAGATGTAGGTGCTTATCTGTCCTGTACTCCGGGTCTAGACTTAACTGCAGAAACCGAAGTTCCTTCAACAGCATCATTAGGCATTGCAGAATAGATTTATCTCTGCCTTCATTTTCTTTCATAATTAAAGGGAGAGATAGCGCTTCCTATCTAGCAGACCTATTTCTTTTCATTTTTGGACCTTCAAAATCCTCTCTTGTTGCGGTACATAGACTATCAAAGTCCTTGCAATGTCCATTTGAAGTTGTAGAGTAGTAGTTAGTTAGTGCAGAGCCGCTAAGCATGGTCAAATATGCTCTCGCATTTATCGGTTCTGATATTGCAGACTTTTCACACAATTCCATAAATATATTCAGCTTAAAATCAAAACTATCGTCATTGCCATGGTACTTTAGGTCTGGCTCATACATTTTGGACAGGTTTGATAATTCTCTCGAATAATCTGCAGGAGGGATAGATGCTGTAGGAAGCGAGGCATATTGAGCTTTGTATGAGGTTGTGTTGGTAGTCATTGTTGATGAAGGGTTGGCTTTTTCTTTTTGGGAATGATTGGATTATTTGGAGGTAGAGTCTTTCATAAGGCGCAGAATTTTAATAGAGTTAAAAGTTTCATTGGAGTTTGAAGCTTCTTGGTACGTCCATTTGGTTGGTATTTCTTCTAGCAACGTATTATGTAAAGATTTGGCAATGGTAGTTTTTCTATTGCTGTCCCATTCTACCCAAACTCCAATTGTTCTCAGATAAAGTCGAAGTCCACGTTAGACTGAGATGGATGCAGGTTTGAAATCAGCTTCGGAGAAATGTGAAAACTCGTCTTTGAAAGCTTCCCAAAGATTATCATCCTTAAAGTTGAACTCCGAGAACTCTTTCATTTTTTCCTTAATATAGCTGTTTACCGATTTTGTCGGTCTTCTTGCGCAGATGTGGCGGCACTATTTTTAGGAATTAATTTCATCTATTTTAAAGAATAAAATAGATGAAATTTGCGAGTATATGTGTAGTGAACAGGAGTTGAAAAGAAATTCGGTTGTAAATGATATCTAGGAGACGTGATAGATGCGGAAAAGATGGAGATAAAAGTTTGATAGAGTGAGAACTTATCAAATGGTAGAGTGAGTGCGTGTGTGCGTGTGTGCGTGATGGACGCAAAATCAAGTGCCCTTTTCAGGGGTTGATTTCTTGAACATAAACTGAATGACGAGGGCCTTTTCCAGGGGACGACTTTCAAATTATATTCCTTAGCAAAAACAAGTTGAACAGAGGCCTTTTTCAGGGACAAATTATTTCTTTCTTCACAGGTATTCTGATCTGAATTCGGAAAATTGATCAGTGTCGGAATACTCGGGTGGTATTTATATCACAAGTTTTCTGTAGCAGTAATAACAATTGGTGTTTAACATCTATCTTCTCCTTTCTTTCTTCTAACTAAAGGAAACACGTATAAACTGCAGTTGTCTCTCTCTCCTGGCGCCATTCCTAAACAGGTAACTCAATACTCATCAACATAATTAGTCATCATTTATAAGATAATACATGAAAGGTCATTAAGTCATTAGGTCATTCAATAGAGTGCCATGTTCGGATTAAAGCTAAAAGTGTGGGAAGTGTGCGCCACAAGTACGAGTGTGAGCGACACGTTGCCTAAGCCATAGCATAAACAAGTGTGGCGCCATCTAGGCATAGAAAACCCCCAATAACCTCCTTGCGCCCACGCTATACAGCCGCTCATATATACAATAGGTAGCCTGAAGCGCTACCACATTACCTACTCCAACCTCTTAAATACACACTAGATCGTGTCGGGAACCTAGACGAAATGGAGGGCCCGTACGTCCACAGCACTCCGTGTCTCCATTTCCAACACTATCCTCAACACCTGTCAGTGGTGTCCCCTACGAACCTTCAGCTCTCGCTGTAGAGTCTGTAGAGCCTAGATTGAGTAACACCGTCCTCACTTTCACGAGAGTTCCCAATCGCTTTCGTGGTCTGTACTTCTTCATCTCTCAATGTAACTCTCTATTTCTAAAATTATGTTGCTGAACACGATCAGATCAGGTGGTAGGGCCGAAGCCCGTCTCATCACCAACCCTTGATCATGGAGGAGAGGCCATCCGGTGAGTTTCCGGAGCGTACCCAGCACCCGATACAGAGATGTTGGATTGGATCAAGTCGGCCTCGAATGTTACAAAGAAGGGAGATATAGATGAGTATGTGCACTTCATGTGGTCTCAGTGTCTAGGCATTTTTTTTGCATCAGATTTGAATTGCACATGCAGCTATCTAGCTATCCACAATATCAAAGAAAAGTTTATAATAGATAACTCAATACAAAGGAAGAGCCCTGAGTTATTCAGGCATGTCTCGATCATCCATTTACTTTTCTCCGCGCGATATGTGGTCTTGGGTGTCTGCTTCCCAAGTGACGTAGGTGCCCGGGCTACTCAAACTACACTAGAGAAAACCAGTGTCCACGCCCCGCCGGATTGGGCCTTCATGTTTTTGAAAATTTTTACCGCGCACGCATTTTCTTCTGCTATCCTTGATTACTTTATTTTTCTCTATTTTTTTGTGTAAAAAGTTCCGTGGAAAAGGTGGGGTTCTAAGGTTATTATTTTTCCTATAAATTTATAATCCTTTTGCAGTTCATAATGATACAGGACGCGCAGGCCCTCTCTGATTACAGGCCATGGACATCCGTCGCATGGATGTCATTGTTAGATACGTAGCTGAACATCTACGCATCATGGACAGGGTCTGAAAGACCCTGCTTCGTAGAGTATTAAGCCAGCAGCGTTGCCCAAAGAGTAGTCTGGGCCAGAGAGAAGTCCAATGCGCCAGATTGTCAGGGACTTGAATAGCGCGATAAACAACAGGGCACCTACCAAATTACCAAATTCGAACATTTTTTTCAATTCAGCACGTCGAAAAGTGAATGGATATTAGGCTGGAAGCGAAATTCTCAGGGTTACTTGAGAATCGAGGATGTGCGACGATTCCAGGCAATAAAGGCCTTTTCACTACTAATTGGCCCGTCTAATACTGCTCCGGCCCTCGGTTACCTTTTCCTAGGTGTTTCTTTCGTCTGCAAGTACCTAATCGAGATCCATCTCCAGTATTTAGATACAAAACATGACGACATGGATTCTCACAATTCTCCTAACAGTCGCCATCAGCGTATCAATTTGGCTCTACAACGACAATACCAAATGCGCGAAACTTCCAACCCTGCGCAAAAAGCGCATCTGTCTACTAATCGCCCACCCAGATGACGAAGCCATGTTCTTTTCGCCAACGTTACTCGCCCTCACACAACCATCTCTTGGTAACCATGTCAAGATTCTATGTTTAAGTAGTGGTGGGTCGCGCCCAACTTGGTGACGCAGGGTTATGTTCTAATTTAGGCTTCCCTGCGACCTACTGAATAGACTTCTCAGTTAACTTTCATCAGGTGATAGTGAAGGACTCGGCGCCACGAGGAAAAAAGAAATAGCAAAGAGCGGTATAGCACTCGGATTAAGGACGGAAGATGACGTATTTGTGATTGAAAGCGCGTATGTAAATTTCAGGATCTCATGGGTTCTTGGCGCAACCAACTGAATGATTTATCCAGGGAATTTCCGGATTCCATCAAAATCCATTGGAATCAAAAGAGTGTTGTGAAACTTCTCTTCTCGGCTTTTGCATCTCACCTCGAGACATCTGACGGTACTTCTAATCCTGTATCTACCGCCACGATAGATGTTCTCATCACGTTTGACTCGGGTGGAATCTCTGGACATCCAAATCATATTTCCCTCTTCCATGGTGCAAGAAAGTTTATAACTTTGCTATCTCAATTTGAACTGCAGAATCCCGTACACCTTTACACCCTGACTTCAGTGTCATTTCTACGAAAATATACAGCATTTCTAGATGCTATTGTGAGCATCATCATGATGAAATTCTCTGGGCAAAATTTTGGAAAAACTACAAGCAAACTTTTATTTCTCAACAAGCCAACTAATATAATACGTGCGCAGAGAGCCATGAGTAGCTGCCATAAAAGCCAAATGAAGTGGTATAGATGGGGATGGATAATATGGTCTAGGTATATGATAGTTAATGACCTGCGTTTGGAACTTCACACGGACAACTGTAATGAAGGGTCACACTGAACCAGCGAATTTCTTGTATTGAGATAACGCTTCATGGATCTTTGTAATCCACAAGGTCATTTTTTAGCATCAATTAGGTAAGCTGCGTTGAGTTGGTCTAGGCCACAATCCTTCATGGCTTTCTAGATTGAGTAGTAGCAGAGCTTGCCAGACGAAAACAATTATTTAATCAGGCTGGCTTCACAACATCAGACATCCTAGTCTTCAACCTATGACTTAAGATCCACCAACTTTTAGAGTTCCTGCACAAAGTGTGGGGCTTGGCTAATTTTGTTTTTGACCATCAGGTTTCCCAACTGCGGGAAAGAACTTGAAAAAATTACACCACTTCAACAGACGCGCTATCAATCGCCGTAAATCATATTGTTAATTTGATGATCTTTCTTCTAGATAGGTTGGTGTTGAATAGCGATTGCATATCTTTTCCTAGCGTATCCGATCGGCTTTCCTTCTTTTTCTACAGCAGCTGGAATTAGGTCCATCAAAACGAATTATATTCGACAAAGATTTTAACCAAAGAGATGGATTCGGCCTCGTGGTGATCCCTGTTGTATCCCAACCACTGGAATGCTCATCATCAAAAGTAGCGTCACACTCTTCATTTTTTGTCACTATATGGTCCAGCACAAATTCTTTCGCTTCATCTTCAATCTCACGCTCCTCTGGTATTGTTTCTAAAAAGCTGCCTGCGGTAAAATGGACGATCTGTTGACCTCGATTCCAAGGTGTGTGATGATGAGATCTCTTTGATCGAAAACTACGCTTCATACCGTGTAGATCATCGTGGAGCTTGCAGATAAGTTTAGCCCAGCTTAAACTCCCGCCCTTACGGGTATGAATGTCGGTGATTTGATGCATTTTATTGTTGAAGAGGGCTTTCTGTGCAAAATGAGCTATACCAAGGATCAAGTAAGGCTAGCATACGTTATGAAGAGATTTTAATGATGCCTCTTTCAAACAACAATGAATAGATAAAGACTTGGTTCGACGGTACATTCCTAGAGAATAAAATGATTTTTAGAGGTCAGTGGATCGATCTCAAACGACTCTTTTAATATTGGGTGATAACTGGGGGGGGAATACGATATGGCTGTATGCCTTGGAAGTGCAAAATTGTCGCTGAGCCTTGGAAGAGTTATGAATAGCACTAGGTTTGGAGGCTGCTTTCTGATATTCACACAACCTAAGCTCCAAATCCCAAGCAATTATTAGAGGATCACAAGGCTGTTATCTTCTACAGTCAAACTTTTTGTTTAAATTTTTTATATTTGTCGCGAATTCTTTCATCTGTTGCATCTTAATTTTTCCCTAATTCCCCCCATCTCATTTTGGGATAAACCTACTCCAGCAAGACTAGGCGGTGAATAGCGTACCGGAATAGCATTAACCTTTCTAATGACCTGAGGCCGAGCGGATGTCGCTTGGATTCCTGCGCACTGATAATTCACAGGTGATTTAAGTATGGAGATGCTTTATCTTGCCTTGAAAACATCTCTCTTGACCTTCCTTGGAATACAATCTAGATGGGCACAATGACTATTTTTGCTGCAATAACTTTTGGATGCTGATAGATACCTCTTATCTTAAATCCTACTCCCCTCTAGGAAAGGTTGCTGACATTTAGATCCAAGTTATTGAGTCAGAGCGAGTGCTTTCCATCAATACTAATTCCTTGTTAGGTCTCTGCTTGGCAATTAACGGAATAGGTCGGAATGTTTCCATTCCTTAAAATGGCCTGGCTAGTAGAGAACTATCTCTAGTTATAACTGATCTATGCAACCTCTAGTTGCACATGAAGAGCCAGGAGCAACAAATGTATGCTCAGGAAACCCCTGATCCGTGTAATCCTTCCTCCGGGTTGGAACGTGTAATTCAGCAGCCCATCTAGGTCTCCCGCTAAAAAGCCGCTATCTAGCAAGTAGAACAGAAATATCTGGGGAAACTAGGTTACGTTGTCATTTACCGGCTTCCGGGTCGGATGGTTCAGTGACAGGGCAATTTGGCTTGTCCCCACTCAGTGACTTTATCGCTATGGCACCCATTATCACGGGTTTACCCGCTATTGGTTGTCTAGGCTGACGTGCGTGTCCAGCCTTGCACCTAATCAGGATTCGGTAGAAAGTTAGGCATTTCGCACAAAGCAAGATACTTTTACAATTTAGACCAGTTTCTGTTGTGCTACATGAGTCAATGACTGGGACAAAGACTGAACTTGATGTCCTCTACTAACCTGCAGGTGAAATATTCTACCAGGCCCAAGTCAAGTCAAATGTCGCAAGAACAAAGAAACTGGCCCACAATACGATGGTTCAAGTCTCTCCACAACGTCAGTTTTCACTCCTAACGATATGAGTTCCTACCAAAACTTCATCAAGTCTGCAAGTACAACCAAGTACATGCTCATTTCTAAGACCATACCCCTCATCAACTATCCTCTGGCCTCAGCTGGCCACTAAATATATACCCACGACGATTCCAACACCGGACAAAGGACAAAAATTGTGGCCCACCAGTCTAACAAGCAGTTCTATGGGAGGACGTGAGAGAAATCGGGACAAGTTTATAGTATGGTGCAAAAGAAGGATTAAATCTCGACGGGCGTAAAATTTGGAATCTTGGCAAGGAGTTTTACAAATTGAAGACAGTTGTACGCGCCAAACCTTCCATTTCGAGAGTGCGGCTGACACAATAAACTCAAACCAACTGCGTAAAGTGCTGTGGTCCGCCTCTTGGTGGTGTTCTCCGGTATAGCTTGAGTAGCCTGGGCACCTACTCCACTTGGGAAGGAGACATCTCAGATCATATTTCGCGCGGAGAAAAGTAAATGGATGAAAGAGGTATGTCTGGATAACTCAGGGGTGTTAAGACGTTCCCCTGGGCGGGTATTCATGGATAAGGGCGGACTTGGGGTGAAGGAAAAGCCACCAATACCTCGCAGTTGTTTCTCCAGCCAAATCCGAGGCATGAATACTCCTCTTTCATACTGAGTCATCTTTTATTTTCTTTTTCTCTAACATTTTGTGATTGCTAAATGGCTGCATACGACATTTAAATCTGATGTAAAAAGGAAAAGCTGCACTCTCGTAATCGAAGTGTTGGCGCGCATAGTGCTCTTCAAGTTGTGAATCTGCTCACCAAAGTTCCAAAACCCACACCCGTCAAGATTGCATCCTTCATCTGCATCTTGTTGTAAAATTTTCCTGTAACATCTCACGTCTATCCTAGAGAACTCCCCCAGAATGATGAAGGCTGAACACCTCCTAGCGGTGCCACCATAATCACTTAGTGTACTCTGCGTACCTGGGATAGCATCCGAACTGGAGTAGAAAGTATCCTCAAGCTTATCTAAAATCCATGACTTCTCATCAATGTTGGACCTATGTTTCCTACGCGAGTCTTTCAAATTGCTCACACTACTTTTAACTCGCTTCAACGACTGTATTAGTAGTGCACCAATTGCAATGGGGGATTAACCTCATCCTAAGTCGGCCCTCTCCCACTATAAAGTTACGGTCCCATGTACGCTCGCGAGTAGGCAACTAATTTCTAATATAGAAATCTCGGGGTTTGGTCTTTGTAGGCCCGTTGCTCTAATGGGGCTTCACATGTTGCAGGAGGATGGGCAGCTGAGACGTGGGATGAGCAAATGGAGAGGTCACAAATGGGCAAACTGTGACTCACATCTTTCCCGTGTTTTCGACCTTGCGGAGTCTGTGAGCGTCGAGTCAACATTTTTGCATAGTGCTACAGTCCCTTTGAAATCAGGCAACGATGGAAGCTTTTATGGTCCGCCGCCTGACTGTCATACCCCCGGATTAAAGTTTGGATGGACTAGACATCTGCCTCACTTGAGTTATGGAGGACTGCGAGGCCTAATCTCACGTTGTCACTTCATACACAATGACAACGGCCTGTTGGGGTAGCCAAAAGTTTTTCTTGGTTTCCTTTTGGTGGATATTTACGGTCGATGGTAGGGTGATAGCGCCTAGGCAAATATCTCGAGTAGTGTCAGCTAATGCGCCCACCAGGAGAGAGATCCAACCGTATTAAGGATATGGAGTTAATTAGAACGTAATTACATGTCACTTTGGGACATTTTTGGTTCGGATGGAATGTGTGTGTTTAATGTACTACTTGAGTCTGTAACTTTCTAGCACCTTGGGTGTTGGTTTGAGAGGGTCAATCTATGTGATATCAAAGGTATTGAGAATGGGTTTGCTAATGCAGAAGTGGTGACTGATTAACATGTTTGTGTATACGGATAACTATTTATCGGCCACCCTAAAATGTTGATAAAACCTGAATCCACTTATGCCTAAGGCATGAATTAAGCCTCAGGCCCATATGAGGAATTGCTTCGAGAATGGGCCCCTCTCAGCCAACGAAACGATGGTCATTTGTAGGTGTATGGCAGCCGGGAAAATTTGCAAAAACCACTGGGTGAGGAGCTCTCCTAATACCGACATTAGGACTAGATCCGAGGACATCGTGATCCTTCTGATGCGTTCGAAGAGGCCGGCCAGCTGGGCGCCGCAGACCTGCGTGTACCTCGGGAAATTCACCCTCTACCTTTCTAGCCTCCTTCCAACTCCTTCCCAAAGGTCGTGCTAAAATGTTAGAAAAGCCTTGACAGAGCGTGATTGCTGTATAGTAGCTTAGTCCAACTTCTTTTGCGCCGTCCAGGGCGCTGGGGAGTGCCGTTGACTCATCGACAATGGAAACCTTTCTGGCTAGTTAGCCGAAATCTTGGTCTTGGCGCCCACAAAACATCCAAAGTTGAAAACATCTCGGAAATGTCAGTCCCAGCATGTTCATCAGAGACATGTTCCCCATTCTCGCTTCACATCTCAGCCGCCTGTCCTTCCTTAAGTTGTTTGTCCCATTAGAGCAACAGACCCCTATTAATACTATAGCTCCGCTTAGATTTCAGAAACAAGACGATCAATCATTTCCTAATGTTATGCATGGTAAACATGTCAAAGGCACAAGAGCGTGAAAAAGTATCTAAAAACTTGAAGGCTCAGGCAGACGAGGCCTAGATACCGAGACCACATGAGGTGCGCATATTCATCTACATCTCCCTTCTTTGTAACATTCGAGGCCATGTTGATCCAATCCACCATCTCCGCATCGGGTGCTGGGTACGCTCCGGAAACTCACCGGATGGCCTCTCCTCCATGATCAAGGGTTGGTGATGAGAAGGGCTTTGACCTTACCAACTGATCTGATCGTGGTTAGCTCCGTGGTTATGGTGATATTTGGATGTGATGAGAGATGTATACGATACAGACCGCAAAAGCGTTTGGGAATCCTCGTCGAAGTGAGGACTTTGTTACTAAATCTCGGCTCTGCAGACTCTACAGTGAGAGCTGGAGGTTCGTAGGGGACACCACTGACAGGTGCTGAGAATGGTCCCCCAGCGGGGTCAGATTACGAGCTGCTTCACTGCCTTGATCACTTAAGTGCCATTTCCCAACTGAGCGATCCTGAACTCACTGTCCAGGAGCCACAGCACTTATGTCCATGGCTAGTGCCTGTGGTAAAGACACACACCACAGCATCGCTCAAATTATTGCCATGCAATATCCCAACTCTGCGCCTCTTAGTCCATTACTAAGGAGCGGAAGTAGTTGTATACTTCTGAGCGCTATCCCATAATGTTCCGGCAATATGCAACCGCTCATGACTAGCGTGTGTGGTCGACAGATTCAATATAGCACTGCCCCATAACGAGTCAACTCGGCGGTCAAGAGTCCACTACTCGGGAACGACAGTAGATGTATCCATGGTCGGCACAGGATGTGTACATGCAATTTTTGGCGCCGAGTCAGTCGTTGATTCGCGATACCACAACCAAACATGAAACTGGGGTTTAATTGTTTACATTCTTCGGAGAACAACTAGCATTCTCCCTGTCATGCTGCGCTTGTGCCTGTCACGCACAGGGATCCATTCATTCATTGTAACATGCACATATGCAGTAGGTCACGTTGTTGATAGGCACGTGACAACAAATTATGCACTTCTTTTTAGCTCGGTGCTCGCTCATTGCAAAGTGCAGTAAAAACTCATGGTCGAGAAGTCATTTTTCCCTCATATATATAGTTCTTTTTACCTGATTTGGCGTCTTGAGGCCCATACAGGTTTTTATCGGAAGATATGCACTTTAAGTAGGATGACTCAATTTGACATTTAGAATACTCACACTCAGATTTCATTTGCAGATACCACTCGAGGTTAACCCTTACGGCGTATAACCTCTTCCGTGAATACCCACCACAGGGAGAAGCGTGAAAAACCTGTGGCTATCCGAGTGTGCTTTCATCATCCCACAAGTATAATATCACCGCGAGAGAGAGTGGTGTGTTGGTTTTACTGGATTCGAACCAGCTTTCTCTTGTCTCGAATGGGGTAGGTGTTCAAGCCGCCCAGTATCTACTAGGGAGGACGGCCCGGATGGTGTACCACTGCACCATCTAACCCTTTTCCCTCATATAATAGAGCATTCCCTTCAGACAAGTTGTTGACACAAGAGTGAATAAAATGGACAAGTATCCAGAAATCGACCAAGAGTCATTGAACCCATACTTCTAATAGAAAAAATAATCAGTCGAGAGTCATGCAAGCTAACCATTCGATGATCGCTGGTGCTCAATGTGAAGAGGGCGTAGAGACTAGAGGATGAAGGATGACAGGTCCTGGATGGGGCGCGACTACGGATCAGCTATCGTATCCCATCTGATACCCCTAGCCCTGTGTATGGAAATCTATGTAAAGCGTAAGAAATTTTCTATGTTTAATTTGATTATGGCACGACCAAGGATTCTTGAAGGATCTAGAGTATGAAGAGACATTGATGTAATAAAGCAGCTCCACCCCTCCGGACCTGAGAGATGACGAGAATCATCGGCATCCAAGACCAGCTTAAGGATATTTGAAGTAGATAATATAGCCACTTATACCTATCGACCGCCAACCATCTAAAGACGGGAATTTCTATGTTCATCATCTGACAAATTTTGCCTGCGACTTTTCCGATCACAATGCGCTTTTCCAGCATAGCCATCATCTTCCAAAGCGCAAGCATCTTTGTCACCACTGTGGTTGGGAAGACTGTAGATCACATAGACGAGTAGAGTAAATCATTTGATTGTGATGGAATCATTGTCGGCCACGAACAATTATCAGAGCCACGAAGCTTAATACTAAGGCCACTGCCCGGAAAAGCTCCGGAGAGTTTTTCTAAAATATTTCTAGAAAAATTAAGAGAGCCACGCAAATACAATAATGGACAATGGAATAATTTGAAGTATGGATTTGATGATCCGGCAGTGTTATCTGTATTCCGACTGCCTAATATGAGACAAAGTAAGATAAATATATCCTCAACGTCGAAATAGCACAGCTAATAGTCAACCTCAGCCAAAGAACAGGAGCATTGTTACGTAGATTATGAGTTCTTTGTCATGGAGAACAGTAGAAGGCGCGTCTGCTCTATATTACTGGAAATGACAGAGCATGGTGGATCGGGGCGCCGTAAGTGGAAGAATTCATCAAAGTACATGTTATGCAGCATTAGAGTGTCGCCATAACCAGCACCAATTTTAGAACAGAGATTGAGTGTTGCTGAATTACATGCTTGACTTCCGGGTTGCTCGTACTCTTATCGAAACTTGAGCTTTTTTTTGTCATTTCTGATCGTCGAGAGATAGCTGTTACGGGGCGAGAGAGAAAATGAGATACAAGTCACGGGTTAAGATATAAACAAAATACATGAGATAGGATGCGGACAGAATACGGAAATCTGACATAGCGTCGCATGCCCTCTAAAGACGTGAACGATGACAACTTTAAAGGTCTCCTCGGACTAGCTCGACACTAGTGTCAATAATAACACCAGTCCTCTTCATTACTTTACAACTGTGCTGCAGCGACAACTAGACCCCCACCGCTGCTTGGGCATGCTTTCACTCTTTTATGGAGAGTCATGATAAGAACCATGACACAAGCCATGCATCTAATTTGACGTACAGCGGATACTTGAGTCTGGAAGTCTCAATACTACCGAGATGACCAATTCAAGGGAGCCAGGACACAACATGAAGATCATAATTTTTAAGTCTCGGGTCTGAACCGCCCGATGTTGTCTCCGATGGAACTAATTTCTGCGTCGACACCTTGACCTCCGCCGGGTGTTGCCCATATCACCAAAAAGCTATTCTCATATCTGCAATTACAGAGGCAAAGATGGTTTGTCCAGTTGTCGTGTCCTTGGCATGTTCGTTAGCACAAGGAAACGTACAATGGGGTTGTTTCTGTAATCTAAGCGGATCTCAAGCAAAAACTGGGGTCATAACTCTCTGTATTGTCGCATAGTTCATTCATACAATTTTCCACACTTTACCTTTGACAAAGATATCTCGACAGTCAAAGGTTAGCAATATGGTGATACATCCGAACCCATAACTGTAACACCTATACCCAAAGTATCGGCGGCGTTTCGCGAAACCGTACCATTGGCGTCGACAAGAGCCCGAAGCCAATAGTCGTTGTAAAAAGGGAGTCCCAGCATGCCCGTTGGTGAGCTCTTCCCTCGTTCCACGTCCTAGCTGCCCTTCCCCAAGCTGTAGAGTTCCTTCCGAGAACCGGCCTCTGAAAAGCTAAGAACTAAGCCTTATCTATTTATTTATTTTATTATTTATTTATTTTATTATTTATTTATTTTATTATTTATTTATTTTATTATTTATTTATTATATTATTTATTTATTTTAGTTCTAAGTCCTAGGCCGTAGAGTTACGGCCTCGCCTCAACCTGGCCCTAGGTACAATAGCGTGAGTACTTGTGGTACGTGCACGTTAGCATATAGTCCCTGTCCGCCTCTAGATACTCTCTCCTCATAGCCAATCTACTTTTTTCATCTCTACATTAGAGCTGCCTTCCTGCCACTTCCTCTTCTCGTGATTCGCAGCCTTGAATATATTTAGAAGTAGGACCGGTGGAGCCGGCCGAGATTTAACCTTTACGCTTGCCCTGCTCGTTCACACCCATTGAATTGAATTGTTTTAGGGTCCTAAGCTATGCTCTATATCTCATAGGAGTCAAAGACCGGTGTACACGGCCGAGATCATGCTTTCCGCATGCCCACCTCGGTTTCACCGCGTGAACCACTACACAACCAGTAGCTAGTTAAAAGAAAGAAAAATAGAAACTCCCCTAAACTCCCATAGCTAAAGTTCCAAGCCCAGTAATCCAGTTTGTGGTTAGAAAAACGACACTTCTCGTCTCGTTTTCCTACCTGCCATACATCGTGCTATGACTAATTACCACCGTCTCCGCTGAGAGTTGGAGACGGATCCGTAGGTGGGCTCCTGAAGCAGCCGGTTTCCTACGCAAATTTTGTAAAGTTCTCGAGGCACTTAGGCCCGAGAAGCTTGTGGACAAAGTCGTGATGTGACATTGTACCTCGTAGTCGACGCGTCTGGCGTGCGTGCAGTCGACAGTGAATGAAATGGAGAGGTGATGTTTCCTCCCCACACGCACACTCCATTGAAGCTGCGAAGTTGTTGAAACGGCGGTGACATGCCGCGAAGTTTCCGTGGCCAGTACGGGCTGAGATCAGTTCACGGAGTAGCGGCCGGGAAAGTGCCTGCTCGCGTGGCTTGCGTCGTCGCATGAGAAGACCCAGATTTCGATACCTAGGTGGACATGCTTCCTCCCACCATTCCTCGAGAAGAGCTTGACGTTTCTGGTTCATGAGTCGACGAACGTACGCCATTGTGACGGAGCCAGGCTGGCTGTCTTTGCTTGGCAGTTGTCGGAGGCTGGAGCGTGCAGCTCTGTCTGCATCTTCGTTTCCCTGTATCCCGGAGTGGGCCGGTATCCACTTCACCGAGACTAGAGCCTTTTTTGATAGCGTCCTAAATTGGCGTACATCGTCTAGGCTTGTTGTGGCAATTCCCGTCAACAGTGCCTTCACTGCAGACTGACTATCCCGTTCACACCCATTGAATTGAATGATTTATTTTGAGATCCCAGGCACCAGCCCAGCGCCTTATGGCACGGGACTGGTGGGCTTGGTAAGGATTATCTTAAATAGCTATGCCCTACTCGTTCCCACCACGCTGTCACTATGTGACTCTGATTACAAACAACCAAAAACCAAAAGAAATAGCAAACAAAACCAATTGAAACAAAGCAAATTAACATATAGGAGCAGTGCTAGTATTTCTCATCCTATGCCACCCTCAGTCATTTCTCTCGTCCTGACAAAATAATCCCTTCGGCCCTCGCATCCAGCTGAGGGCGGGTCTGCATCCATGCTCCCAAAGCATCCAGTATTCCTTGCAAATTCTATGAAATTCTCGAGACCCTCTGGTCCAGGGAGTTAGTTAGTATAGTCCTCCACGGTCATGGATCTTCTCAATCTGCGCATTATAGCAGCATTCTTCCTGCATCGGACAAAATAAGTTGGCGTTGTCCTTTGTCCACAGACGCATTCAAGTTTCGCGTCTTCGTGGTTCAGGCGGCGGTGATAATCCGCAAAGTCTCCATGTCCTGATCTTGCTGCCAGGAGCTTATGGAGTAATCGTCGAGAAAGACCTGGTTCTGGTGGTTTCCGACGTCGCATCTGTAAGTCCAGGTCTCGATATCTGTCCGGACCTGACTTATTCCACCAGTCTTCCACTAGTTTCTGTCGGCGATTGTGCATCATACGGCGTATATATGCCTGCGTTGTCTGCGCTGGCTGCGTCTGTCTATCTGGCGGCAGCTGAAGACCGGCTCGGGATTCTACGTCCGCTTCTTCGTTGCCACTAATATTAGAGTGTCCAGGCACCCACCTCACTGTCACGTTCGCTTCTGAAGCGAACTTGCGAAAGACGCGGGTTATCTGCAGCGACGACGATGACTTCCCCGTCCGCAGCGCGAGTACAGCTGCCTGATTGTCAAGAAGAACGAAGGTTCTCTCACGGTTCTTTCGAGCGCGCATAGATTCCCGAAGTGCTACTGCTGCTCCTGCAATTTCTGCGTCATAAACTTCACCGCCATGTAGACGACCGTGACCTTGTGCGAATATTTGTCCTCCGCGTTGGAGGACATATCCCCACGAGGATCGTCCATGGCCTTCAGATGACCCATCAGAGTAGGCGCATATGTCAGAAGGAGAGATCGTGCTAGCCCAGTTGTAGTGTGCTTTGACTCCCTCTTCTTTCGCTCCAAGACAAGATGTGTACACTGGGCCTGCCAGCCCTTCTGCCTCTTCGGATGACTCCGGGAGCTGTCGAAAAGCACGCTGTAGGCGCGACATCTGGGTTTCTGGTTGGCGCCTGACTCTCTTCCTTAGCTTGTACTTCTGCGAGTCAACGTTAGGGCACTCGCTTGCGTGGTTCCGGAGAGGGTGACGGTCATCGAGCGACTGGATCCTGGCTGCTAGATGGAGTCGAATTCCTTTGAGGAGAATCTTCGCCGGTGGGATGCCCCCTTCACTATGAAGAAGGACATTAGGCGAGGTTCTCCAGACTAGTAATGCGGCACGTAGGGCTAGTCGAATGGTCTTGTCGATCAGACTACATAGGTGTGTAGTCTGTGGCGTTGAGGTACCTTTCTTCGTTAGCCGTGTTAGTCCGGGCCACCACACATCCGCTCCAAATGTTGCTACTGGTACGATGCATGAGTCGATGGCGGTAACCAGAGGACCTGGGGCCGCTCCTCGTCGAAGTGGGTTAAGTCGCCGCATGTGCTGGGCAGCTTTGAGGGCCTTCCCGCACCAGGTCGCTACATGGTGCTTGAAGGTGAGACGCGGATCAAGTTGAATTCCAAGCCAGCGAATATCCACCGGCTGGACTAGCCTACCGCCAACTTGTATTCCTACCGATTCGCCCTGATTTCTCCCTTTGAATAGGTCACCTCAGACTTGTCGAGGTCGAACTAAACCGCGTTCTCTTCAGCCAATTTTAGAAGATGGTCGACCTCACCTTGTGCCACCATCGCGGACTCGGCTAACGAGCGACCGATGCCGAGAATCCCAATGTCGTCCGCAAAGCTAAATCGTGCTCTGCAGTTCCCGTTTCGCATGGGCTCGGCCATGTATAAAAGGAAGAGCAACGGAGAGATCGGCGATCCCTGTGGCACCCCTAGCCTCAAAGATCTCGGGCTGGTCACGCCTCCCGGATATCGTACCTGTACCCTCCTCACTTTGAGAAAGGAGGATGTCCATCGTAGTACCGATTCTGGTCAGCCTTGTGCCTGCATTCGCCATAGTAGCCGGTTGTGTAGGACAGCGTCGAATGCTCCTTGTACATCCATCGTTACAAAGGTGGATGCCCATCCTTGAGATCGAGCTTCCTCGACATCGTGAACTACTGAAGATACCAGATTATTTGCCGATCGTTTTGGTAGTGCGCCGAACTGCTGGTGGCCTACAACGTTCTCAGGGATGAGGGTTTGATAGTGTTCCACGGGGTGCGTTGTATAGCCTAGTGAAGATCTAGGTGGTAAGTGAAGGTTGTAAATGGGTCAAAGGAATGACAGGTCTTCTCTAGGAAGAGATGAATGGGCAACTAGTTGCAGTGGGTGTTACACGTGGGTCTT